TTGCTGGATCTTTTTTTTGGTACATGGTATCAAGTTCATTCTTTCACCAGTAGATAGAGGATGTTCGGTTCTAGTTTGTGGTGGAAAAATCACCCTTCTATCACGTATAACGGAGGAGAACGAAACAAAACATTATCAATTTTTGAAATGTTGATCCGAATTACCCCACCGGTCTCTATAATTCATCACTTCGTTGTTGCAATGGCTTAAATTTTGGCTTTCGGTGAGTTTAAGCAGGTGTTACCTGTATAATTTGGGATTGTCGTTTTTGTACTAGTCTTTTGTTGATCTGAGTTTCAATGTTGTTCTTGACTTTGTTCGGAGATCAAGTCGCTATTGTTTTGTGGTTTGTGTGATCTATATAAATGTGGATAGTTTGGATATGAAATCTGAAATAAAAAACAAGGTGTTTTTTGTATATAGAATTAGGAAAAGGTTATTTGAAAGGATGGAAAGAAATCGCTTATGAGGTTTTATTATGAAATAGTAGAGTAATTTGAAAGTTTTTCGAATTGATGTTTAGAACATATGGTTGGATTTGAGATAAGCATGACATGGTGTTGTTCATGTACTAGATTGTTGATTGTATGGTCCATTTTCTGTGTGTGTTGTGGCTAATGCATGGTCTAGTTCATCGTCGGGATCATCATAATCATCTGTATCACTCTCCATATAGTCGTTTCGTTCTAAGTCAGAAAGGAGACGTTTTACATAGGTATTGGATATCTCAGGTCGAAGACCACTATCCAGAAGAGCCTTGAGCAATGGAGCCATCAAGTTGTATTGATTTAATCGGTTTATATTTCTGAGGGAAAGACTCATATTGTATTTTAACAAAGTAAAACGTTGATAACGTATAGTTGAGTTGCGAAGGAGAGGTTGATCGGACGATACAAAGGACGTTATAGATGAATACATAGCAGAAACTATTGTTAGTTTGATAGGAAAATCTAAAAGAGAAATAGTATAGATTGCATGTAGGTAACTGAAAATACATAAAGGAATAGATTATTCCCTCGACTGTAACGAGGGTCATGTCGAAAAAAAGTGGTCAAAAAACGGAAATTCGTTTGTGTGTGTGTGTGTCTGTCGCAGGTCAAGGATCAAAGGTCAAAAAAACATTTTCTCCAAAAACGCACAAAACTTCATAAAACATGGTTTGCGAGGGTGTTTTGACACTGAAAGTTGGTTGAGAGGGTGAGGACATGTGAGATAAGGTCGATGTTAAACGTACATTGAGCCCCGAGGTCAACTGCCCATAAGAGAATTTCATTATGAGTGGAACAAAGATTAGGTAAAAGTTTTTCATAACTCCAAATGTGCAAGGAAATGTATCATACATCGAAACTGAAAGATTCATTCTCAGAATGTAATGCAATTTGTATTTGTGACAGTAGGAGAATTTCCTTCGAAACACAAGTCCAAAATACAATTCTGATTTTTTTGCTTCTGTTGTTGTGACTATAGAAAACAGACAGCGAAGAATCTTGTATAAATTATTGTTAGTATTCGTTTTTCTTAGCGTACCGAATCACAAATTGGACACCAGAAGAAGATGTGTCTTACACTCAAGTATAATAATGCAGAGAAGAAAAGTAATGATCGTAGACTAAATGAACGAGATTTTGATATGACAACGTCTCTAGTGATTGATAATTTTGTTGGAAAGTGTTGAAGCAGGCATTGTTTAAATAAGTTGGATAGTCAGCCTGAAAAATGGGAAGCGTGCGGAGCGGCGAGTCGTGAGTGGCGCCCCGTTGGGGCGTCGACGAACGACGAGCTGCTCCCCCGGTGACGCTTTCTAGTTCACACTTCGAAACATTTTGACACCTTTGGATTTGAAATTTACATGAACACTCATCGTTCTTCACTTAACTCTTCATTTTATTAGGGAAGGGAGAACACGTATAAGGTATGGTGCGGCAGCGCGACCGAAGATTTCTGCACCATTTTATTGTTTAGAATGTGAGATAATCTGTTAAATGTGTATTTTATAGAGAACCGTTTCCTCTTTCAAACTCTATGCTTTCAACGATACCATAAAACTTTCTTTTAGACCAGTGTCAAAAAGAAACCAAAGGGTTAGTTTTGAGCGAGCTGTGCAGAAGCAAAATTCGCCCGATCATTTTGCTGCAATAGTCGAAGAGAAAGTGTTCTATTATGATCTAACCTATACAGTTCGATAGAGAAAAAGATTCTCTACAAAATGCACATTTAATAGATTATCTTATATTCAAATCAACGAAATAGTGCAGCCATTTGCGGTTGGAACCAAAAACGTTTTTTGGTTGCGATGCTAGATCCTAGTTTGAAGATGCCTGTGATGATCTATAATACAAGAGATAATATATGATAAGTGTATCCTGTATTGAATCGAAACAAATCGAATCTCTACTGTATGTTCCTCGTCC